TTATTTAGTGCTTCAGAACTTGGAAGTTCAAAGCTGCAGTGGCTGATAGTCGATTGTCACTAAGGTGATAATCGATTATCACCCAGCTAAAGTCTAGCCAGCTGAAACCCGTTTTGAAAAACCGAGGTCCAAAAACGAAGCGTTCCCAAAAGTAAAAACCAAGTTTGAAAAACATTGTATATGGTATAAAATAGTGAAAACAAGACTTGTTTGGTAAAAAACAAGTCCTCAAGGTCGTAAATCAGGTGCGTACGGTTTTGACCGTTTTTCACGTGTTAGACCGATTGACCAAGATACAAAGATGGTTTTTACAAAATAATTATTTGGGAACCTTTAAAATATGCTCAGAGATAAAAACAACGTTTAAAATATTGAAAACCACGGAGTTGGTTCGGGCGCCAAAAAACCGAACGCCGAAAACCGAACGACGAAAGTCGAACGCCGACTTAGGTGGTTTTGGTTCTGAGCAAGGACCAGGGATTTTAATAATAAAAGAAGTCATCAAAAAAATGTCTGTTTTGATGCACAAAAAATGTTTTATGGTTTGTAAAAATTGTTTTGACTTTTTGAGAACCGAGACTTGAATAAATTGTCGGTTTTGATCACAGAAGACCGACTCGACTAAGTCTTCAATTCTTGATCTTGCCCTTGAGTCTTTTAGGTCTTGTTCCAAGCCATTCTTCATGCCTTGAGTTATTCAACGAAACTCTTCATATCCACGGCGGTTTGGCAATTATCAAAACCTGTCAGAAATGAACACGACTTTAGTTTAACGTGCAAAGTGTGTTCCAACAACGATGGCATATGAAAGAACGGTCTATGCCCGGCATGTCCGCCACACTCCAAGCGAAAATATCTGCGTATTCCCAAAGGACTGAGATGATTTCCTCTCGAAGTCCCCCGGGCAGATCCCTGCCTATATGCACCATTCTTTCTGGGAAGGCTTCTTGGAGAACGATTTGCTCGGTTTCATCACCCAGCTCTAGCTTCGACCGCTCTTCTTCCTGAGAGACCAAAGTGACTCTCTCAAATGCCTTGGTCATTTTCTTTACGGCCTCCATGTGGAAATGTCGGGCCTTCTTTTGGTCTCCTCTCACTTGTCCGATACCACCCGGGGTATAGAATTTCATGCAGAGGTGGGCCATGGAGAGGACTCCACGGACCTTGTTTATTCCAGGCCGGCCTAGGATGGCGTTGTGAACACATTTGATGTTTACTACCACAAACCTCATTTGTTTTTGGATGACCTGGTCCCCTGTGCCCAACTCACAAGTCAGAAGGATTGACCCTTCAGCTTCAACAGAGTCCCTGGTGAACCCGGACAGGGGAGTCTTTAAGGGCTCAAGCCGTGTCCGACACAACTTGAGCTTTTCAAATGCATCCAAGTACAAAACGTTGACACTACTACCCGTGTCAACCAGTACCCGGGAGACATCGACTCCACCCATGTCCATAGTTATGACCAGGGGGTCATTGTGATCTTCTCCAGTGGCGGGGAGGTCCCGGTCAGTAAAGGTGGTCGGTTGCCGTCTTGCCTGTTTTGACCGGCGATTTAAGGCCACCGTCCCGACGTAGAGCTCTCGCCCCCATTTCTTCCTTTGGGAAGCAGAGTCTCCCCCTTCCGGTCCACCGTAGATGACCTGCAAATGCTCTTTACCTGGTGCTTTCTTCTTCTTATTCTGTTCGACCGGCTTCCCTTCAGGCCTGATCCATTGGTTTTTCTTTTGCTTGGCCTGAGCTAGATACTCAGGATCGATTTCCCCGACCTCGATCATCTACTTAATTACTCCCTTCACACTGTTACACTCCGCAGTGTTATGGGAATCAGTTTTGTGGAAGGAGCAATACTTCTCCGTCCATTGTTTCTCGCCGGTCGGGTTCTTTTCTGATTTGACCGGCTTAACCTCCATGACTTCTGCCTTTGCCCTCCCGGGCTGTTCAATTTCCTTTTTCAAGGAAATTTTTCCTTTGGAATGGCCCTGCTCGGCCTCCCTCTTAGATGACACCTGTGCTTCGGCGTCAGCATAATCCCAGGCCGTGTTGTAGGCCTCTTGGTATGACTGGGGAGGTCTCCCGCAGAACTCTTTATACAATTCTCCAGACCGGAGTCCGGATACTAGGAGAGACATGGCGGTTTTGTCTTCCCATCTCTTCGACTTTATCAACTTCATTCTTCCACCGGGTGAGGAATTTTGTTAAATCCTCGTGCTCCCTCTGCCCGGCCGTGCTCAAGTAGGTGAACTTTTTCCTCTTGGTGCAATTTTCCTTGAATTTCTCCTGGAACACCTCGGCCAGCTCATCGAAAGAATCGATCTCACCGGCCGGTAAGTTTTGAAACCACTCAGCGGCTCGGCCGCGGAGGGTTTGGAAAAAAAGTAAACATTTTTCGTCCCCGAAAAGGCCCATCATCCTTCCACTTTGATGAAGGGTTTTGACATGTATTTCCGGGTCCTCCTTCCCGGTAAACTTCGGGACGTCCAACTTTTCTTTCTTTGGAAATGGGGCCTCATGAACCCGGTCTGTGAACGGAGATTCGTTCTGCAGGATTTTCTTCTTTTCTTCCCGGTCCACCCGGCGCTGCAACTTCTCCAAACGTGCTTCAACCCAGCCCACACGATCCCGGGGTTGTTCAACATGGGAGCAGATCGTGTGCCTAGGATGGCTTTCGGCTTCTTCCTCTCGCGGTGCCCGGCTGTGCTGGGGCTCTTCACGATGGGGAGGTTCTGTGCGCCCGGTCCGACCAGGTCGCTCGGCCCCTCTACCCAGGCGATTAAAAGCACTCAACGGGGTTGTCTCCACTCCTAGTCGTTCTTTGGCAGGCCGGTTTTGATTTCTGCCTTCATGGCCAAGCCTTTGAAACGCTGACCTCCTGGACCCTTCAGGTTGAATAGCTTTTCCCTTCAGCTTCTTTTGCGCCTAGGGTACATCCCAATCCTCATCCCTACTATGGACTGATCGCACATCGCCATCAGGCGTGATCTGCGTGCGCGACCTCCGGGAACGACTCCTTCTGGACCGGGACGGACCAGCTTTCTCCATCTCTCCGATTAGATTTGTTGGAGCAACTGGGCGGATGATATTAGTTTGGGGCAAGGATTGTGGGTATAACCCGGGAATGAAAGGTGAAAATCCTCCCAGCTGTTGAAACATGGACATGAACTGCCCAAAATTTTGGAATGCCTGTGAAAACAGCGGGTCCATGGGCCCGGGAATATTTGGAGGAAAAAGAGGGATAGAGGTGACGGGGGAAGTGAATGGAGTAGGTGTTGGAATAGAGAACATGGGGGTAGGAATCTGGTTTGAGGGTTGGGTACTCCCTCCCGGGAACGAGGCGACGTTCTCAACGGGAGTAGAGATTTGTGAGATGATGGTTTCCTGATTGCTTGTCATGGCTTTTTGTAATAGGTCCCACGGGTGGCGCCAATTTGATGGTGTAAATTACCACGCAAATACTAAGTATGAGTAATCGGAAGGGTTGTAGGTGGAAACACCTGAAACCCGAATTGTTATTAATGATAATAGGAGTTATTACAAATACAAGCCGTGCAGGTTAATTAAAGCATGCCCCACAAATGAGGCTTTTAGGGGTATTTATAATAATCCTAAGCACGTCAAGCACGTCTCTGATTATCCAACCGGTTAGGCGGCTGACCGGCCCACCAGGTGTACTTTGAAAGTAGATCTTCGGGTATTGGCGTCTGGTCTCCCCATCCAACCGGTCAAATAACCCGGGCTGAGAAAGGCGCGTGCTATCACTTCCATCACCACCGAGTCCGGTGAACCAACCGGGTGGTACCCTTGGGTTATTACCCATCAATGTTGATGGCATTTGCATAGTTCTTGACCTTTTTGATGTCTTCAGCATCAATCTCATCTTCGGTCTTGGGAACTGTAGTTTCTTCTACCTCCTTCATTAGCACTTCTTCACCATTTTTGATGACCAACCACACTTGGAAGTTAGTGGAACGAATATAAATTCTCATCCATTCCTTCTAATATATATAGTTGGTGCATCAAAAAGTGGTGGCCTTGAGGTGGATTGACCTTCACCTATACCTGCATACAAGTTTTTAGAAGAAGGGCCCATGATCTTATACTTCTAAAATGGTTAAGTTTGGAAGAGAGTTAGGCTCTGATACCAAATGTAAGAAAATAGTTCCAGTGCTAGAGGGGGGGTGAATAGCGTTTGAAACGAAAATCGCAGAAATATAAAAAAATTAAAAGCGTGAAGAGTAAAAGCGTAAGAAAGAATATCGAGATTTATATTGGTTCACCACAACGTGTGCCTATGTCCAGTCCAACGAGAGACTCTCTCAAAGGTCCTACTAACTCCGTTAAGCTTTAAGGTGCTTAAAAAACCGTTACAACCCGAGAACTCGAGTACAACGAGCCTCAACGACACTTGATCGTAGTTACAAACACTCCAAGACTTCAAACCCGAAGGAGTGCACACTTCTTTCATACAACCAAGGGAACAAACCTCCTTTCAAGTGTATGAAACACTTTAGCACTCAGGAACAAGACTCTCTTAAGAGTAGATAATGAGTAAAAAAAAGAATGCTCAAGAACACAACAAAATCTTCACGAAATTGGCTCTCAAAAGCTATGAAAAGGATGAATAAGTAATACAATGAAAGAGTATTGATTACGCGCATTGGAAATGGAAAAATTGTCCCACTGCATGGCATGGTCAGTTCTCTCGGGATGATCATCCCTAGGGATGGCAATTCAACCCGAACCCGATCTTAACCGACCCGACCGACCACTAAAATATCCGAACCCGAACAGAGAATAAAATAATCCAAACCCGACCCGAATTTTTTTATCCGAACCCGACATTGGGTCAGGTGGGGTGTGAGTTTATTATTTAACCCGACCCGACCCGCACCCGCACCCGACCCGACTCAAACTCGAATATTTTATAACATAAAAGCCTATCTATAGATATAATGAGCACTCCGTATAATCTCTTGACAAAGTGCTACTATATCAAGTATGCCATTTATAATCATTTTTATAATTCCTTAATAAAAAAATGAGACGCAAAAAAAATAGATTTAATCTTTTTAAAATTATTGGGGTACATTGAATTGATTATTGGTTAAAAGTTGGGTTCGGGTCGGGTTCGGGTTTCGGGTTGGAATGTCGGGTTCGGGTCGGGTTTTTGGCTTAAAAAGTTGGGTTTCGGGTCGGGTTCGGGTTTCGGTTTTAAAAGTCGGGTCAGATTCGGGTATAGTACTATCTGACCCGAACCCGACCCGTTGCCATTCCTAATCATCCCTAGCCTACTATCATGATCGAAGCTGTGGCTTCAAATGACTTGTGGTTTTGGCACGCTTTTTTTAGTGTCGCGGGCTCGAACAACGACATCAATGTTCTCGATCAATCGCCCGTTTTTGACAATTGGATTAATGAAACCGCACTCGACTCGTCTTTTGAGCTTAGAGGGATGCTTTACAAGTGCGGATATTATTTGGCTGCTGGAATACATCCATATTATTCCACCATTGTCAACTTCCTCTCTGAACCAATGAGTCTTAAACGCCAGACCTACCAAAAGCTCATGAGGCAGCGATAAAAGATATCAAACGAGCCTTTGGGGTGTTGAAGGCTTAGTGACACATTCTAGATTGTCCGTCTAAATGTACACATGTACTATTCTTCATAATATGATCATAGAGGACAACGGGTTTGCGATTTGTCATTACAACCCAAATGAGGAGTTGCTTGTGTACGAAGATATTGATGAAGAAAAGAAACGAAGAAACCGCCAAGAAATTCAAAGCCGAGAGATTCACAATGCACTAACGATGGATTTGATCACACATATCTTTATTCGCTCGAATAATTAGTAATTTGTTCGTAGTGTAATTTTTTATATGGATGTAAATTTTTTTATTTAATGAATGTAATTTTTTAATGAACTATTCTCATTTCAATTCTTTTAAATAATTAGATAATTAAATTTCATTAAAGTGCTTTCCGTTTTCTTACATTTAGCAATAACTACATCAACTCGTCAACTCTTTGGTAGCATTTAAATTTCAATTGATATTATAGAAAAACATGACTAATCACATCATTTGCAAGATTAATTACTTCACTTAATCTGACAGCAAAAACTTGAAGTTATGTTTAAATATATGAGTTGGCATTAAATTGCATTTCTGCATAGGTGAAAATTGAAGATATGATGCGGTTAAGAGCTTTCCAGACGACAAATGATAAAATAGTGAAGATGCATATGCACCCCACACATCGGTGGCCCGTTACAGCCGATGCATTGGATCACGTTTCTGTTTGGAATTCAGAACACCGACAAGTTTTAAAATTGTTGTTTTTTTAATTATATATATGCATATATTTTCTCTCTTTTTACGTCTCTGATTTAAAGATATTCCATTGAATTTTGCATTAAAAAGTTTTTTTGATAATCAGATAAATTATGAGCTTAAGGCTGGTGGTGTTGACAAGAGTAGTTTGGTTGGGGCAAAGCTCGAGAAGCTTGCTGAGGGTGAATCAGGTGGACATGCTTTCCAAATTTTAGATAGTTATATCACAGCTCTTCTATAGCTTCTATACCTTTAAAAGCTTTACTTCATGGTTGTGAACATTGTTGTCAAGTCGTTGCCTAGGCCACGACTAGTCTCCGACTAGTCGTCCGGGCGGTTTTGCCATGGCGCTTTGGTCTTCGACTAGCGCCTAGGGCAGACTAGGCGATAAAGCATGCAAAGCGACGCTTAGGCGCGCGTAGGCGACACCTAGTCGGTGAATGAAATCGCCCAATTTGACCTAACCCAATTGACCCGACCCGACCCAAATTTCATTAATTTTTAAAATTTCTGATAAAATACGGTCTCCTTCGACGCAATCCATCCAATCGACAGTCAATCCAGGATCATGACTCTACTCCATCAGCGACATCTTCCGGTTCCAGCACTTGCGTGACTTCCAGTTCCGACTCTCCTCCATGGGTAAGATTTCTCAATGTTTAGTTTGTTATCACTAAAGTATACTCTTTGTTTGATCTAATTTTCATTGATTTGGTTCACTAAACTATAAAGTAGACTATAAAATTTTTAGTTTTCTTCTGTTTTCTTAATATTTCAGATTTTTTTTTATTTCAGTTAATATTTTGGTTTTTTTCTTATTCTAGTATTTTAAGGGTTATAGACTATAGTATATTCTTAATTTGATGTAAATTTCTATAATTTGGTTCATTAAACTAAAAAAATATACTATAATTTTTTCATTTTTTTTGGTTTTCTTAATATTTCAGATTGTTTGGTTCTGATTTCAATTAATATTTTGTTTTTGTATTTCTTATTTTAATATTTTAAGGGTTCTAAGCTCTTGTTTTTGTATAGTTGTTGGAATGTCATATTCATCAACTTAATTTAATATTTATTTCAGAACAAATGGCAGATAATAATATCTGCGACTACGACGACGATCCATCCAAGGACCCCAAACAAAAAGCCAGCTCTAATGATCCCGGATGGAAATATGGGTTTTGGCCAAATATGAACAACAAAAATCTTGTGGAGTGTACATTATGCCACAAATAAATAAATGGTGGCATAGGACGGTTCAAACGTCATCTTGCTTGCGGATTTGGGGATGTCACGAAGTGTCCAAATACAACAACAGAGATATCTACAGAAATGCATCGGTATTTGAACAAGAACAAGAGGAAAAAATCCATGTCGTTAGAGGTTGAAGATGATCATGAAATTTGTGATGATGATATGAATGTGGATGATAGGCCTATGGGTTCCTCTATAGCTTCAAATCCTTCTATTACTGAACCAAGTTCAGGTACAAATGCCAAACGGGAAGCAAACTGTCCTCAAGTTAACTCAACCACAATAACAATCAGTTGCTTGCATGGTAAGAAAGACGCCTGAAGAAGTGGTTGAAGAAAGACATACCAAGGGCCCAACTCAAAGAATGATGGAACGGTCTGTCAAAAGTAAAGAAGATGAAGAGCGGGTTCATATGCATATAAATGATTTCTTCATCGAAAATGGGATACCATTTAATACTGCTAATTCCAGAAGTTTTGAGATTATGATAAAATCAATTGGGCAATATGCATGGTTGTTTAGTCGACAAGTCGAGTCGAGTTGGTGACGGGGAGACTAGTGGACTAGGCGATTAGTGGTAGACTAGTCGTAGAGTAGTCGACAAATCACAATTAGTATTTAAATTTTTAAATGTCAAGGAGCCAATTCAACCAAAAGTTCAAGCTTGTGGTTGTGCCCCAGGAAGAGTTAATTATATTCTAACACGTCCCCTCACGTGCAGGCGTAGTCTTTTTCAAGCCTTGCACTTGAAACTTTAATTTTCTTAAAACTGGGTGGCGCTGAGTTTCGAACCCGTGACCTCTTAGTCAAGAAGGCTTTGATACCATGTTAAGGAACTAATTCAACCAAAAGCTCAAGCTTGTGGTTGTGGCTAGGGGTGAGCAAGTACCGAACCGATACCGAAATTTCCCGAAAAAACCGAGAATACCGAACCGAAAAATACCGAACCGAAAAAGTACCGAGAAGAAACCGAACCGTACCGAACCGAATGATCGGTACGGTATTTGGGAACGGTACGAGATGACGTACCATACCGAAAATCCCGAACCGAACATATATACTAAAATATTATAAAAAATAATAACCCGGAGTAATATTTTTCATATTCCTTCACTAAATAATACGGAGTAATTTTTTAAAAAAATTGGTTGAAATTTTATCATGTGTAAGTTATACTTTTATTTGAGTTTTAGTTTTTGTGTATAAGCATAAAAGTATTCACAAAGATTCGAAAAACCCTTTGTTGTCGTTCATTTTTTTAGTTTGTGAAATATAAACTATGTTTTGATATGCATCCCTTGCATTTAAATATTCATTTTTTTAATTTTTCACGTTTTTTTTTATAAAAATTCACTTTTAATTTTCAAAAATAAAGGGACA